TTCCTAAAAGTTTCACCACCTCCTTGATCTGACTGAAACCTGTCCTCAGAACCCTGCTCTTTTTGCAGCCTATGGGTGGTGGTGGTGGCTGCTTTCTCTCACATATTCCATCTACACTGGGCCTGGAGATAAGGTATGAATTCCCTTTTCTACCATTACCATTACCAGGCCAGTGTTTCTCCTGACTCCCTAACTCCCCCTAATCCCCCAAACCACCCACCCACTGTTATTGAGTAGGTTTTGACTCATAGTGACCCTATAGGACAGAGTAGAACTGCCCCATAGGGTTTTGAAGGCTGTAATCTTCACAGAAGTGGACCACCTCGTATTTCTCCCATGGAGTGGATGGTGGTTCAAACCACCAATCTTTTTGTTAGCAGCCAAATGCTTTAACCACTGCTCTACCAGCGCTCCTTTAAAAGCAACCCCACCCCCTGGGCTTCTTTGAAATACATACCAAGGGACTGTACCACACTCCTCTTTCCATGTTGCCATCATCTTCAGACCTTATGGTCTCTTTCATTCTTTGGTGATTTTAATGCCTGTCACCATTCCTTATTATTTCAATGATCAGGAAGAACATTCTAAAAACTAAGGCTTTTGACATGACTAAAACTTCTAGCTAAGGTCTAATCCAAATCTCTCTTTGTCCTAAGTTAACTCCACTTTGTGTCTTTTAAAACAGCCTGTCATGCAGTGTGCAGCTGTGCACCTTGATAAAGTTCCTACAGAAAAATGCAGTTTTGTCCACCTTGCTCTGCTTATCTCAGGTTTTGTGGTTAGAAAAGACTGCTGTTAAGTTATTCAGCTTGTTCAGGTGTTAAACATGTGACTTTGGTGGCTAAACCATACTTAGACCCCTGTAACTAAATGCTTTTTTTTTTTTTCTTTTTAAACTCTGTACTTGGACAAAATTCTATTTCAGAATATTCAGGAAATTCATGGTCAGCCATGTTTTGTCATTTGAAGCCCTCTCTGTGCAAAGGTCAACTCCTGCAAAAAGTCAGCCGATTCTGCCACCTACAACTTTGTGAATGTTAGCCAGTCAGAAAGAGCCCACTGTACCCACTAACTTGCAGGTTTTGCCTTTATCAACCTCTAATTTTGCAGCTCCTTGGGTGGGGCACTTTGTCAAGAACTTGATTGTGTCTTATTTAGCAAAATGCCTTTTGCCATTAATAAAAGTGGTTTTTACTTTGAACAGACTTGTAATTTTTCTCTACAATAATATGCATGTAGATCCTTTTTCTCTTTGATCCCCTCAGCTCCAATGATCTTGTCCTTCACCCTACCTTAGTCACCTACTTCCATATTACTTTACACTTACAATTACTAATAACTGAGTCCTCCACTCAATTTTAAGTGTGTATTGCTGTCATTACCTCTTATATTTCCTGCACACTCCCTTTAATATCCTTACTCTGTAATTCTTGGATCTTACAATGAGCTACAGGCAATTCACCCTACCACATTTTCCTTGCACGTTACCTCCATCTATTCATGTCCTTGCATCCTTCATGGCTGGCTTATACTTATCCCATGGTTCACGATTATAATTAATCCCTTGCATACATACTCAGTTGCCTTATTTCTCTCAAATGATAGAACTCCATACTTGGTTAAGTCGTTGTCTATTCCTCACTTCCGGACTATTCCTTGCATGCAACCAAACAGCTGAATGTGATGAAAAAAATATCCCACCATGTTCTCTGCCTATAACTTCTATCACTCTCCCCCACTGAAGACTTCCTTCTCCAATTTATCCACCCCCTCCTGTGTCATGAAGCCATCTCTACAGAATGCTTCCCATATACTTGGAAATATGCAGAAATACAATTCATACTACGACTCTCCTTAGATTGCAAATCCTCTAGCTGTGTTATTTCTTACCCTGAAATCATGGTCTGTATACTCACTGTGTATCTATTTCCTCTGCTTCCATTCTCTTAAAAATGATTAATACATTTACACTTATCTAATGGATTGGTGTGTTTTTTCTCTTGATTTGCTGTTCTATATATATTAATTAGTGCTTTGCTTCCCCCCCCAATGGTTTGTTTTAAATCTTTTCTTCCCATGCAGACTTTACAAAATACCATTTATCAATTCTTTTTAAAAATGGATCTTAATAGTTAGACTTCTCTTCCATAAAGAATTAAAGGAAAAAAATGTATTTCATTTTCTTCTTACATTTGTGACTTTTTTTTTTCCCCCATTTCACATCTTTGACTACTTGGACCTTCCTTAAGTATGAAAAATAATTATAATCCAACTTTACTTTTTTGTTAAGTGTTAACAAATTTTTTTCCAGTAGTATTTGTTGAAAAATCTTCCCTATCTCTATGATATATAAGACTCCTTTTATGATATACAACATTCCTATGTATTTGGTTGACTTACAGATTCTATTTTATTCCAGCAATACATTTATGTGCAAGTAGCACACTATCAATTACAGAGCTTATGATACAATTTTAAGCAATATCTGGATATTCCTGAAGATTTTCTTTTTAATTTCAACCTCAGAATCAGCTTATCTGTGTCTTAATTGGCATTAAATTTATAAAGCAAGGGAAGTTGGACATATTTTGATACTGTGTAGCTATATTTAAGAACAGTGTATATCTTCCATTTATTCAGGTCTTTGTGTTAATTTTAAAATGCTTCTGGTATAGATTTTTTTTTTTGTTAGTTACTGGGTATTTTCTTTTCTATTACTATCAAAAAAAGGATCTTCCATCATATTTTTTCACAGGTTGTTTACATATTTCATATCAAACCAAACTCACTACCATGGAGTAAGATCCTACTCATAGCTTGGGTTTCCCAGGCAATATCACTACGGAAGTAGACTGCCCAATGTTCCTTCTGAGGAGTGGCTGGTAGGTTTGAACCTCCAGCCTTCTGGTTAGCAGTCAAATGCCTCAGGCACTACACCACCAGAGCTCCTCTGTTTACATATAGGAAGGTTTTCTATTAATTTTGTATATAATTAACTTGCTAATTCTTTTCCTAGTTAAGCTTTTCATTTGCTTCTCTTAAATTTTCCAGGTATAAAATTATCTAATCTGCAAATAATTTCTCCTCCTCTGCAATTTTACAGCTCTTTTTTCTTGTCTAAAGATCTTCTGCTTTTCAGTTATTTTCTCTTTCCTATGGTTTACCACATTAGCCTTAACATTAATCTGAAACATTAAATGATACTGAAAAATATGAGGATAGAAAGAAACAAGTAGAATATTAAAGTATATAAAGTATATTGCCCTTAATCATGATAAAGTAAAAAAGTCAGTTTTCTGTGTTTTTTTTTTTTTTTTTTCTCCACCACATGGTAGTTGGAAGTAGAGGTAACAGAAGAATAATCATGTCAAACGGTAGCTATGTCCCGATCTCTGGTTTCTTTTTGTCTGGTGTATTATTAGTAACAAATTAAAGGTGCTAAAGAGTTATGAGGAATGTGTATTTCGCACACCACAAAATTTTATTAATGTAATTTTAAGGCGAATTAAACTAATTTTATTCAAAGTAAATCTACATTAAATTACAATATTAACAATCTCTAGACACAATGAACTTAAAATATAAGTAGAAATCTATTTGGTCTTTTATAGACCACATATTATAGAACTCACAAATGAAATTTACAAATGTAGAAATAATGATACTTAAAGAGTGAGGATTTTAATACAGAAACCCATAAGATGTTATATTTTAAACACGCATGTTTCAAAAGGGGAGAGTCTTTTAATAATTTTGCACAAAATCAAATTATATAAACTTGGTATATTCCAGAAAATATTGCTTTAAACACTTATACCATGATCAAAATTCCTTTGGTAGCTTTTAATCAAAATGAAACATGCTACTATGTAAAATATAAAGAAGTATTTTTAAATGTTATCACAAAAGTATCTTTTTCATAGTTACCATACTAACATCACTACTGAATTTTCATTTTGCTGTTCAACCTCACTTATATATATACAACATGAAACCAAGTACCAACAAAATCTTTTTAATCTTTTGACAAAATAACCTCTGCTTCACAATATCAAGACTTTAAAGTCTCCTATAAAACCTTTTACAGTGATACAGCACACAGAACAATTACTGTCCCTGTGCATACTGTAAAAAGAAAACCAAAACTTTATTATAGCAATAATACAAATACTGCAATTAAAAAAAAAAAAAAATCAAACAGCAGTTGCCCTAATGCAAAAAACAGGGACTGCTAGACTCAATCTTAGAATGATAAACACAAACACACTAACCCCCAAAACTCTTAAACAGAAAATTCACAAGTAACTAAAACAAAGATGTTGCTGTTTCACTATATTAAACACATCAGACACACAATATCCTCTTGGCACATCAGAGATCTCACTTAGAAACCTGATTTATAAAAAAATCAGTCATCAAAGTTTAAACTATTTGAAAATAAATGAAACAGATGCCAGTTTTTAGGTTGCATAATTGATCAGTTTTTAACACTGACTGTTTCTTCCTCATGTTCACCAATTAAGGGTTCTTGTTTTCAATCTAAGTGTTCATCAACTAAGATATCTTGTCTTCAGGAATACCTAAGTAATCTTTGTAGCTAAAGAATGCAGCATTGAGGGTCTTTTAAAATTGTGCATTCATGATCACATGCACAACAAACCAAACTTTCAGCTTTTGCAACAAGAATAAGACCTTCTAAAGAACTTCTTTTAACCAATAACTTCTTGTTCAATCCCAAAATTATTCTGCACAGAGCAGTAGAAAGAATTTAAATGTCTAAAAGAACAAGAAGAACTGGAGGGAAAAAAAGATACATATGCCATTTGAAAATCCTTAAGCTTTACAAGGGATGATTGAAGAATCATTTCCTTTCTTTCTTATCCACCAAGTATCTGAAGCTGGTTCAATCACAGAAAGGTCTGGAAACAGCACATATGTGTTTCATTGCTCCAAAGATACATTCTAGTGTTTTACTAAAAGAAAATAGTCTGTTGACTTCATTATGCCACATAGTGGTACTGATTTGGATTGTCTTTATCTCTCTCCATATAGTCTCTGTCTATAAGAGATTCAATTCTCTTTTTCAAATCTCCAGGCTACAAAAGAAAAACAAAACAAGCAAACCATAAAACCTCAATTACAGTGACATTAAATTTACAAACACAGAAGAATATAATCAAGGACAAATGATATCATTATATAAATAATTATAAAATGAATAAATAAAACTCCCTACTTCAAAGACAGTATTAACCTTTTATCTTGATCAAAGTGTTTCCATGTGAATTTGTCACAGCAAGTCTTCCTGAGGGAAACCTGAAACTTGTGAAATGTATATACATTATTTCTGATCATTACTGAGTATCTAGGCATGGTAGATCTTTATGTAACATATATTACTTTGTTTAAATGGGATCTCTGGTAATATCTTATTATTTTCATCCTTTGTAACAACATTTCTCCCTAGGTACATTTTATTATTAAATGAATATATTGATATGTTTACTATATGTTATATTTATATAGTGTAACCCCAAATTCCAAGTGTTCTTTGTTCAAAAAAAGAAAAAGATGACTGAATCGATGAGTCCCTATATAACCATGATATGGAACTGCCTGGCTCTGCTTAGGAAGGCTACTGCCAACTTTGCTGTATTAAGAAGCAAATGTTTACAAGCATTTACAAGCAAAAGTTCTCTTGTATTTTATATATATATGTTGTTGTTACGTGCCATCGAGTTGGACTCAACTCATAGTGACCCCTCCTTGGGTTGCCGAGGCGGTATCACTACAGAAGTAGATTGCCCAACCTTCCTTCCCAGGAGTGGCTGGTGGGTTTGAACTGCCAGCCTTCTGGTTAGCAGTCAACTGCCTTAGGCACTATGCTACCAGAGCTCCCATACTTCCGCTGTGATACTGCCTCGGCAACCCAAGGAGGGGTCGCTATGAGTTGGGTCCGACTGGATGGCAGTGCATCGTCATAGTCATATCAATATATGACACACTCTATTTTCCAAATAGTATAACTTTATATTCCATGACAGAGCATATATTTTTGTAAGATATGTGTGAAAATCTTATTACCTATAAAAGAAGAACTAGGTGCTATGGCCACTATTTAGTCTCACTTACTCACTATTTAATCTTTTGTTTAATTGCTTGGCGTCTTCATTTGTAGCATGGAAAAACAGCTGTGACTTGTGGTAGGCAAGAGTAAAAAGAATGTACGTAACAGTGTTTCACAAGCTATGCAAAATACTACATAGGTATCAATCTCCTCTGGAGGCTGCAGGAGTCAAATATTTGTTATTCGAAGAGGGTACTTCCTAAATTCTGCAAGTTTTAGACTAATCTAGCCCACCCTGACAAGAAGCCCTGGTGGTGCAGTGACCAAGTGCTAGGCTGCTAACCAAAAGGTCTGCAGTTTGAACCCACAAGCTGCTCGTGGAAGAAAATGTGGCTATCAGCTTTTATAAAGATTATAGCCTAGAAAACCCTATGTGGCAGTTCCACTTTGTCTTTCAGGGTTGCTGTAAGTTGGGATGGGCTCAAAAGCTAACAATAACAAAGCCCATCACTTTATTCCATTGGTGAAGAAGATGAATTGGATATACGTCTGTCAAAATTTACAACACTAAATCAGAGAAGTAATCTGAAAAAAATATGCAGCTAATTCAATCACAGAAAGACTAAGACTGATGACAGTCCAATATTTTTTACACTGATAAATATATTTCAAAGAGCTTTTCATAAGGCTTTCCTAACTTTTCCTATATTCCACATAATCAGGACAGTAAATCAGTCTTAGAAATGAAGTTTGAATTCAAAGATTTTGGGGTAATCTTTCATAAGCAATAACAATGGTAAAATACTACCAAGGCAGAAAATGCTTTGTAGTTTGTAAAATGCTGACTAGTTATTTATGATTTCTTTAAAATCCTGTGATATAACCTCTTCTTCCCTTTTTGAAAATATAAGCACATACCCTATCTCTTGAGGTGGGAGTTTTAAGTCTTTATTATTTCATAGCTTTTACTACATTAGTGACAAAGAACAATTTGAAATAAAGTCCGTATTACCATCAGTTGCCAGTTTTTCTACACTTACTATTCACAAAAGTACATTTTTGTGGTAAATGTTCACTTAAAATATAGGACAAATGATGATTCTTTGAAGGTAATGAAACTTGACCATGCTTTGTCAATTGTCTAACAGTATACTATACACTTAATCAAACTAATATTACATTTACCTTTACTGGAAATTTCAGCTGATTATACAATTCTGAAACTAGAAGATTATGACCAAGAGTCTTTCTCATCTTCATTATTCTTACTATAGCAGCATCTATCTGGTATTGTCTGTCTTGAAACACTCTTTCAGTGGTGCTAACTTGTTCCTCAACCTATACAAAAAAAGAAAATAAAAAGCAGTGTAAAGATATATTTTCAACATTATTTCATCTCATTGAGTTTTATGAGAAACTTTCTTTAGTTGCAAAGAAAGGCTGAACTTTGGATAAATACTGCTTTGCTGTGCATTTATATTTATTGTAGTAAAAACTTAGCTCTCCCAAAACAGGATAACACTGAAACTTGAATGAGAATTTTTAAAAGGGTATTCCCTTATTAAAAAAAAAGCTGTAAAGACCCTACTATGTAAGACATTAGTAAACTGATTAGCAGCGTAGTAAATAAAGCAAAACAAAATACCCATCAGGATTTATTCCAGAAATATAAGCTTTTTTGCTTAACATAAAAAATCTATTACTGTAATTGAAATGATCACAATAATGCTTTCATGGATAAAAAATTATATTATCTTCCATGGAAAAAAATTATATTAACAAAAGTTCTCCTTGTATTTTATATATATTTTGTTGTTATGTGCCGTCGAGTCAGACCTGACTCATAGCAACCCCTCCTTGGGTTGCTGAGGCAGAATCACTACAGAAGTAGATTGCCCAACCTTCCTTCCCAGGAGTGGCTGATGGGTTTGAACCGTCAGCCTTCTGGTTAGCAGTCAAATGCCTTAGGCACTTACACCACCAGAACTCCCATATTGAGATTTTATATATATATATATATATCTACTTCCAATTTTCCACAACTGGTCATGATAAAATTCAAATTCTATTCTTAAAACAAACTAAGATATCTTGATACATGCTTTAATTAAAAAGAATACCACAATGAACAGCAGTTATCAGAGACTGCAAATACTGAATATCAGAAATAGTAACTACTGTTGTCCATTTAATGTTAGTTGAACAGCAACCTAACGGGGGTCTACTCATGAAAATTTTTTGGCAGGGAGAGACAACAGGTCTGGGCATATATTTAAGGTAAATGTTTCAGGAAGGGAGAAGATCCATAGCATTCATCAAATTTTCAAAGGAATCCACAACCCCAGAAAAGGTTAACATTGCCTATACCAGAGATAGGGAGCTCTGGTAGCATAGTGGCTAAGGCACTTGACTGCTAACCAGAAGGCTGGCGGTTCAAACCCACCAGCTACTCCTTGGAAGGAAGATGGGGCAATCTACTTCCGCAGTGATACTGCCTCAGAAACCCAAGGAGGGGTCACTATGAGTCAGGTCTGACTTGACAGCACATAACAACAACAACATACCAGAGATAAAATTAGTCAGGAACAAGATTAGGAAACCTAGTAGTACTGTTTTTTTTTTTTTTTTAATTTTTATTGTGATTTGGTTGAAAAGTTTCCAGAGCAAATTCATTTTCCATACAGCGTTCATACACATTTTGTCTCATTATATTGACTGCAATTTCCCACAATGCAACAGCTCCCCTCCCACTTCCTCCCAGTAGTTAACCTCTTCCCTCTGTCCTGCCCTCCCATGCACTCCTGCCCTCCCTCACCCTGAGCTGTCTCCCTGTGCATACACCCCCCTTCTGTTTTCCCATGATTGATCTCTCCAAGGAGTCTTATCTACTTGATGTAAATATTTAGCCCATATGCCTGTCTATTATTTGTCTGGAAGACATAGGAGTGAGTTCAGTTGTAGACCTGAATGGCAGCTAGAGGCCATAGTCTCAGGGGTTTCACCAGACCCTATCAGACCAACAAACTGTTTCCTTTTTTTTTTTTTTTTTAATGATTTTAAGTTTTTTTCCACATTCTCCCCCCACTCTATCCACGATCCCCTACACAGATCCTCCTCCGAGGGGTTCACAGTGGTAGGTGGGCATCATCTAGTTCTGGTCTTGTGGTCATATAGGGTGAGGATCACATGGTCTACCAGTCCCTGGGACTAATTGTTTCCATGCATCTTTGGTTTTCTTTGCTCTGGACATGGAGAGACCCATTGTTGCATCTAGGTGGCCACGTGTAAGCGTTTAACATCTCAGTCACTACTCTCCAAAGCAGGATATGAAACAATGTTTTTGTGTAGTATTTTATGCCAGTGAGCTTGATGTTCCCTGCAACCATGGTCCCGAGGCCACAGGTCCAACTACTAGCTCTCTCTGGGTAGCTGGCTGTGGTCAAGAAGGCACTACAACATTGTCCCTTGTCATTTCTATATACTTGGCCATTCTTACAGCACACACAAATATCCTTGTAGAAAACATCGTCTGCCAACCCTATACATAGTTGTGGTGGTTATGTTTGTGTGTCAACTTGGCTGGGCCTAGCTGAGTGGCTGGGCAGCTGGTGGTAAGTTATTCCCCATGATGAGACTGGCAAGCAGCTCCATGGTGGGAACTACCACAAGCAGCTCAGTAGCTAGCTGCTTTGGGTATGTGGTCTGCTTCCCGTATGTAAGAAGCCGCTTTGGGAATGGTCTCTAGCTTATGGCATGCTTGGACCCTGCATGTAGCCGTGTCGCTGTTCAGCAGCCTGTCATGCTCTGCTGACCTTGGGACTTACAATGGACTTAAATTAATGGCCTGACGTGTGGTTTGGTAACATCGGGACTGTGCCTTTTTATCTGTCAACAGTGGGTTTGTGAGCCTCAGCAGCTAGCAGCTGTCTGAGTGAAGAAATGCCTCTAGATCCAGTGTGCCGGGAGCAGGAGGCAGAGCTGGACCCCAAGGTTGAGGGGCTTTTCCTCAGCCCCTAGGGCCTGGCACTTTAAACATGGACTTAAAGCCTCCAAATTGTGAGAGAATAAACTCCTGTTAAGGCCATCCCATTTGTGGTATATTCCTGTCAGAGTGGCACTAGGTAACCAGAACAATGGTCATGGGCATAACTTCCCCCTTCCTAGACAAACCTGATTATTCAGCCTGTCCACTATCTATCCACCCATAGATCAGTGTCTGCTACCACTGACAACACAGTAGTACTGCTATTTCTTAAAAACATTTTTTAGTAGTTAAAGCTATGCAATAAGAGAAGTAAAGAGGCATACTAAAAAGGAGCAAAGAAAATGATCATTATTTGTAGATGACTTGGAAAATCCAAGAAAATTAGGTGAAAAACCATCAGAGCTAATGAATGGTCTGTAAAGCAGCTGGATATAAGACAGACATACAAAGACAAACACTGTTAATATGTACATACTAGCAATTAGCAGCTAGCAATATAAAGAAAAAAAGGTGCCTTTTGTAGGGTATCAGTATTTCTTTGGCCCTTCTTCCTTTAAACTCTTTAGTTTAATGCTCTCTCAAATCCTTAATAAGCCTGACTGGCCTCTATGTGATATGACTGAGCCAGACAAGTCAGGCCTTGTCTGGCTCAGTTTCCCCCTTTGGTGACTATGCTGCAGTCAGAGGCCTTCCTTTCGTTCCTGAAAAATGCTAAACTCGTTTCTTCAGGAGAGCTTGCCCTGAATCACAGTATTAGGTCAGGCCTTCCTGTACTTTTTCCATCATAACATTTACCTCAATTCTAACAAGGCAGTCAATGTGTGATCATCTGCTATCTATCTTCTGGACAAGACTAAAGACTCCTTGAAGATGGGGACTTATTCTTATATTGTTAACAATGGCTGAATTCTCAGTATTTTGCAAAGGACGTGGCCCACAACAGGTGCGCAATAAATATTTGCTGAATGAATGAAAATGTATAACTTAATAGGAGAAACTGTTTAATAAGAAATATGCAAGACTTGGAAACAATTAGTCCAAGTAAGTGGTAAATCATGCAATCCTTAGCCTATATGACTATGAGACCAGAAGACTAGATGGTGCCTGGCTACCTCTCGGAGGAGGATCTAGGTAGGAGATCCGGGAAAGAGTCAAGAGAACAATGTGGAAAGAAAATCATCTTAAAAAAAAAAAAAAAAAAACAAGGTTTGCTGGTCCGATAGAGCCTGGTGGAACCCCTGAGAATACAGCCCCTAGCTGCCCTTGAGGTCTGGAACTGAACCCATTCCTGTGGCTTCTAGACAAAGAAAAGACAAGTATATGAGCTGAACATTTACAGTAGGTAGAAACACTCCTCGGAGAGATCAATCATGGGAGAATAGAAGGGCCGTTTATGCACAGGGAGACAGCTTGGGGGGGCAGGAGTACATGAGAGGGAAGGACACAGGGAAGAGCTGGCTATGGGGAGGAAGCGGGAGGAGAGCTATGGGAGATTATAGTCAATGTCATGAGACAAAGTGTATGTGAACTGCTGTATGCAAGATGAATTTGTAAACTTTCATGCAAATCACAATAAAATTTAAAAAAATATGTAAGACATTTAAAGATTTAAGATGAGAACTGCAAATTAAAGCAATGCAATCTGAACAAAAACATCAGTGTTCTTATTTGTGGGGAGAAAAGACATGATAAAATGATTCTAAAATTCAACGGGAGAATACATTTGTAGCAATAGGTACATTAAAAGATCTTGAGTTATGACTACAAAATAGATCAACAGCATTTTTAGAACAGAATTGAGAAACTGATCAATTTGACAGATAAGAAATAACAATTCAAATAAATTGTCAAAGAATGGTATTTTCAATTTGGTGTTAAAATAGGGATGGGAGGGTAGATAGCTTTCTGATACAAAAATAACTTCTATATTGCTCAAAGATTTAAATATAAAAAGTACTAGAAGAGTAATATAGGTCACTAATTTTAAAATTCTGGGCTAAGGGAAGAAGATCTCTCTTAGGCTTAACATTGAAGCCAGGTACCATAAAGGGCTCTCTCTCTCTCTATAATGTTCTTTCTTTTTTTTTTTTTGGCAGTGAGACACAGTTAAATAAATAACCCAGTAGCATTGGTTAGATACTTCACACAGTGTTATCATTAGTGTCATCACCATTAATTCAGGCTCTCTGCTCCGTAAAGTTCTCATCTGTGCTTCAGATGAACTGTTGTACAATTAAGCTCACATAGGTAATTCTTTGTAAGAGGTTCTAAGCTAAAGGCAAAGATTTTTTTATTAATGGGGCTAATCTGTTGTTTACTTGAATGATAGCATCATGGGATAATCTTGGTTCAAGGTTTAAAGATTATTTCCAGGCATTAATTTCAAGATCTCCTCAGTCTCAATGGTTCCAGTAAGTCTGCTTTCCATAAGAGTTTGAAATTCTGTTCCACATTTTTCTACTTTATATCTGGACTTACCTCGTGGGTCCTTGATCAGAATGTTCCATAATGGTATCTGGGCACCATCCATTTGTTTTGGTCTCATGGTAATGGAGGTAGTAGTTTGTGGAGGCAATTAAATCTGCAGTCCATTTAAAGGACTATATTTAAGAACTTAAAAACTTTCATATGGGGGAAAAAACAACAAAGTTCTCAAAATAACAAAATGGGAAACAATTATTTGTCATAAATGACAAAGGGTTAATATACTTGATATACAAAGACCACTTACTGATCAGTAAGAAAAATATTATTTCAGTAAATGTACCCATGACTTGAACAAGCAATTAAAACAAGAGAAAACTGCTAGCCACCAAACAGCAGCACCAATATTTATAGCTCTGGTAGCATAGTGCCTAAGGCACTTGACCGCTAACCAGAAGGCTGGTGGTTCAACCCCACCAGCCACTCCTCGGAAGGAAGATGGGGCAATCTATTTCCATAGTGATACTGCCTTGGAAACCCAAGGAGGGATCGCTATGAGTCGGGTCTGACTCGAGGGCACATAACAACAGCTTTATAAATATTTATTTAATTCTCAAAATATTTGAGGCAGTTTTATGTCTATTTTAAAACATGAAGCCTTGAGGATTAGAGAGCACACAATTTGTGTAAACTACTAACTGGCATAAAGATGATCAATCTTAGTAGAAATATAAGAAATTTAAATTAAAATTGCAGTGAACATTTTTTTTTTATCTCTCAGAATAATGTGGGCAAAAGGGATGTGGCAGTAGGGAGAAAGACACATTCATGAAATCTGTGATTGTAATCTAGTAAAATCTGTCAGACTTCAATTTGGCAAAGAGTGGTCAAACTAAAAAGTACACAGTTATTACCCAGCAATTCCAGAGCAAGAATTTTAAATTAAAGAAACAATCTAACAAGTTCAAAGGTCACAAATCTGTTTGTACCAGGATGTTTTATAGAAGTTTATTTTCAATAGTTATAAAATGGAAATAATCTAAATATCTTTCAACAAGAGCATTGTGGCCTATGATAAATAACAAGTTACAAAATACACAGTGATCACTTTTTTAAAAAAAAAATATATAAAAGGTTAAATATGTATATGTCGCAGGAAAAAAACAAACTGTGACTACAAAAAAAAGTGGTCAGAGTGATTATCTTTGGGGGAAGAGGTAATTTCCACTTTGGAATTGTTGTTTGTTGTTGTTAGGTGCCGTTGAGTCATTTCCGACTCACAGCGACCCCATGCACAGCAGAACAAAACACTGCCCGATCCCGTGCCAGCTCCATGATCCCTGCTATATTTGAGCCCATCATCGCAGCCACCATGTCAATACATCTTGTTGAAGGACTCCCCCTCTTTCGTCAACCTCCACCCTACCAAACATGACATCCTTCTCCAGGGAATGGTCCCTTCTGACAACATGACCAAAATAGGTGAGACAAGTCTGGCCATTCTCCCTTCCAAGGAGCATTTCGGGTGCGCTTCCTCCAGGACAGATCTGTCAGTTCTTTTAACAGTCCATGGTACTTTCAGCATTCTTTGCCAGCACCACAACTCAAAAGCATCAACTCTTCTTCGGTCTTTCTTATTCATTGTCCAGCTCTCACATGCATACGAGGTGATTGGAAATATCATGGCTTGAGTCAGGCGCACCTTAGTCCTGAAGGAGACATCTGCTTGCTCCTCAGCACTTGAAACAATTCCTTCGTGGTCGACCTTCCCAGTGCTACACGTCGTCTAATGTCCTGACTGCTGCTTCCATTGGAATCAATTGTAGAACCAAGCAACGTGAATTCTTTGACAACCTCAATCTTCTCTCCATTTATTGTGATGCTGCTCATTGGTCCAGTTGTGAGGATTTTTGTTTTCTTTATATTGAGATGTAATCCACACTGCAGACTGTATTCTTCAAGCTTCATCAGTAAATGCCTCAAGTCATCCTCACTTTCAGCAAGCAAAGTTGTATCGTCTGCATATCTCAGGTTGTTAATGATTCTTCCTCCAATCCTGATGCCACATTTTTCTTCATATACTCCAGCTTCTCGGATTATTTGCTCAGCATATAGGTTGAGTAAGTTTGGGGAAAGGATACAACCCTGATGCACTCCCTTCTTGATTTTAAACCATGTAGTGTCCCCTTGTTCCGTTCGAACGACACCTCCTGGTCAAGGTACAGGTTCCTCATGAGTACAATCAAGTGTTCAGGAATTCCCATTCTTCTCAATGTTATCCATAATTTGTCATGATCCACACAATCAAATGCCTTTGCATAGTCAATAAAACACAAGTAAGCATCTTTCTGGTATTCTTTGCCTTGAGCCAAGATCCATCTGACAACAGCTGTGATATCCCTTGTTCCATGTGCTCTTCTAAATCCAGCTTGCACCTCTGGAAGTTCTCTGTCAATACATTGCTGCAACCATTTTTGAATTATCTTCAGTAAGATCTTACTTGCGTGTGATATTAATGATATTGTTCTATAATTTCCACATTCTGTGGGATCACTTTTCTTTGGAATTAGAACTCTAAAATTTAATTCTCTTTAATCACTCTACTATAAATTCCTAACAGTAAAAAAGCAGGATCAAAGGATATGTGCATTTAAACCTTAATAAAGATGTCTAACTGCTCATTAAAACAGTTGTACTAATCAAAATTTCTTTTTAAAAATAATGTCTGTTTCCTCATATACTTTTCAATCCTAGATACCTTTCCTAAATTTACAAGAGTGAACATTTTTTATATTTTTATTAGTCTTTTTCTTTTTTTTCCCTGTAAATTGAACATATTTACTGATTAGGCTCCATTTTAACACTCCCTCAGAAGGAAGGTTGGGCAATATACTTTCGTAGTGATACTGCCTCAGAAACCCAAGGAGGGGTCGCTATGAGTTGATCAGACTCTATGGCAGCGAGTTTGGTTTTTGGTGAGGTAAAAGCTATAGAAATGAAATAATCATTGCCTAGGGAGCTCTGGTAGTATAGTGGCTAAGGCACTTGACTGCTAACCAGAAGGCTGGCGGTTCAAACCCACCAGCCACTCCTCAGAAGGAAAATGGGGCAATCTACTTCCATAGTGATACTGCCTCGGAAACCCAAGGAGGGGTTGCTATGAGTCGGGTCCGATTCGATGGCACATAACAACAATAACAACAACCGTTGGAGGTGGCAAAAGTGTTTGTGATATTACCTCATATCAATCAGTTATCTTTGTGTTGCACTTTGAATTGAACTCCTTCCTTTGTAAGGCCACTATTTACTCCAGTCTGGATCTGATACTTACAGGTACAAGATGGGGCTAATTGTACTTTTTTCCTTTTTTAAAAATGATTAATGTCTACTTTAATCATGCCTGCTAGCCTGTGAAAGTTCTATAGTGTTCAGTGAGGGGCCCTTCAGCTTTCCACCACAGTCTTCCAAGTGGACATTCTTTTACATATTGTAAATATTAGAGGTGCAACTGTGTCTCCTAGTCTTTCAGTGTGATAGCAGCCTAGGAGTGCAGGGGTTTTCTGCATTTAAGACCTTACAGCAGTGGTTCAGAACCTGTATTGAGTAAGTGTTTCTTTTGAGAGCCTTATCAAAACTGCACTCACTCTCTGGGGTCTTAAAAGGGCAGGAATGCACAGGAAAGAAGGACACAGGGAGGAGGTAACTACAGGGAAGAAGGGGGATTGCAGTCAGTGTCATGAAACAAAATGTGTATGAACTGCTGTATGGAAAACAAATTTGTTCTGTAAACCTTCACCCAAATCACAAAAGAAATTATATACAGTATTATATATACAATTTCAATGGGCCCACTGACTCCAGAGGCCCAATCAAAGATCCTCACAACTTCTCTTCCAGAACCCCTACCTGAGGCTGCTGCTCATAGAATAGCTAAACTATAGCATACAAAATTAAAAGACAAGTAGTTAGGTTTTGGAAATTACTTGCTCTTTCCACACTAAAATAATTTGATATAAGAAGATCTGACATACTATTTTTGTAAATAGGAATGGTAAGTATTACATATTTTTCTGATTTTCATTCCTACTGTGAATACAGTTATTGAAAGCTACATTAAAATGAATATTTTAAAAATTAGATATATTAGAAATATGCTTTGGATCTCTAGTACTCAAGAAACTAATATAAAAACTAACAATTCCTTGGTAAATGTCCTATACACAAAAAGATAAAATTTATACATACGGTTTCTTTCATCTGAATTTGATTGATCTTTATTCGAAACAACTTGTGCTTGAACTCTCCATTAAAAATGAATCTGTCTCCATCTTCCACATCCTTTCCTTTTGGACTTTTAATCAACACACGTGCTTTACCACAAGCCAGAGACTGTAATGTTCTTCGTAATTCACTATCCTCTAAATAGGGAGAAAATTGCAAGCAAATGTTGGCATTAAAATGAACAACACAGTTAACAAGAACAAAAAAAATCATGATATAATGTGTGACACAGTGGAAACCTAGTCTATATCTTCTCTTAAAATGAATGTTTAAAATATTGGCACTTGAAAAGTATACATTCATTTAAAGAGATTCTTCATACCTATACCAGTAGCCATTTTTATTTCTTCAAAACTGAATTCATCCCCTTCATTGAACATGAGAAGCACTAATGTCTGGAAAAGGGAAACCTGGAACTCCTTCTTTCCCTTTAAAAAAAAAAAAAAAAGTCAGTATTACTTTTGAGGCTGTGTTTATATAATCTCTGAAAAATTGTAAGACTTTTTTTTCCTCTCAAGCTTTCTGCAAGGGGATTAAAAAAATTAATAGCTACCAAATAAGAAATTAAGATGCTGATTCAAAAAAACAAAAAGGGAACTCTGGTGGTGTTAGTGCCTAAGGCATTTGACTACTAACCAGAAGGCTGGTGGTTCAAACTCACCAGCTCCTCCTCAGAAGGAAGATTGGGCAATCTAATTCCAAAGAAATACGGCCTCGGAAACCCAAGGAGGGGTTGCTATGAGTCGATTAGATACTTAAAAATTCTTTAGTAAATATCATTGAAGAAGGGAATTATCATTATTTGATGCCAGATACACAGTAAATAATACCTTAAAATTTTTTTTATCCTACCTAAGTCCTCTTAGTGTGTAGGCTATGAGAAGGCACAGTGGTAAAACATGTAAGGAGGAGGGAAGGGTGGTAAAACAAAATAAAACAAAAAATCCTATTCAACATCTTTATTAAGTGAATGAATAATAAGTACATAAATAAGAGTAAAAATCTTTCAGCCCGGCTTTCCTTTACATTTTTCTGGTAATGCATAATACTAATATAAATTTAGCCTTATATATATTATGCAATTCCCTTTTATTCAGAAAGTCCTCACTGAAAAGATTCACTATTTATATATAGTTAGAACATATGCATAAAATTTAATGCATGTGAAAATGCTAACTAGTTTTGTCTTCTAACATACTAATTTCACCCTAAAGAGAAAATGACTGCATGAAAAATAGCACACTGGGATAATGCAGCAGAAGGCACTTTATCTGTATGCCAGTCCCAACCTAGTAATCCAGTTGCAGGTAGCTGCAATCCCAATTTTGGTTAGTTTCTTTCTCTACGAATGGAGAGAACTCAATCAGTCATTGGTGTTGATACAGATTATGCAGAGGTTAAGTTTTAAAATTAGTGAGTAAGGCAAAAATTGAGGAAAACTGAAATTAAACTTCATGACACTCAGAGTATGTGTGGTTTTATGTATGTAAACTGTGTAGTAATATATATACACAGTAAAAATGTATGTATGTATATAATTTATATAGCAATGCACAGATAAATAAATGTATTATAGTATCTATGCATCATGTGAATTATGTAAATTATTTTACTTAGTGTACCTAAGCACTACTACACTGAAGTTAAATGAGAATGAGGGACTCAAAATTGTACAGTATTTTGTAACATGTATTTCTTTCATTTATCAATATATGCATCCCCCCCTTGATTCTAAATTATCACTCTTACTAGTAGCACTGTAACAAATATTCTTATTTATTAATCTGTGCAACTGTCTTAAAATGAATTCCTAGAATTGGAACTACTAAGACAAAGCATGCACAATTTTAAGGGTTTTGAGATATCTTGCCAAAATGCCCTTTAAAGCTCACCACAATGTTTACTCCTTTCACAGCAGTTAAGAATTACTGTTTCAATTTTTTTTTTTTTTTAGTTTTTATAAATTCGGTAGTCAAAAAGTAGCATATCTTACTATATTTTCATTTGCATCCCTTTGATTAGCAGAGAAGCTGAATATGCTTTCATAGATACTGACTTTACAGTTTTGCTCTTAGGAGCTGCCTCTAAACTCCTCTGTAATTTTTTCAACTAGGTAAATGTTTTTCTATTGACTGATTTTCTTATTGATTTGTATTGATTGGACCCTTTAAACATTATAATGTTGCATATGGTTGCTTTTTAATTAATTTTAGGATCCAACTATTACACTTTATTTTCAAGGAGGTGAGCTGTTTCTGAAAACACTTAAAAGGAGTATTTACATAAGTTTCCCCAATATAGCTAGGCAGTGCGTTCATTAATAAAAGAATTTAAGGGAGATTAATTTTACTGACTTAGAAAAGCCAGTGCTGAATCACCCCTTTCTTTACTACAAAAATATAATCACATTAAAAATATTTTATCAGTCCATCAAAAAAAAACCCATCCATGAAACAAAGCACTTACTTCTTTGAATTCTGCTTTTAAAACAGCATGCCCCAAAGTAGTTTGCCATTGAAGTTTTCGACCACTGTGCTTCCCAAGATAAAATGTCTTAAATACTTCCTGAAGTTTAATCATCTGTGAAGAAAAAATAATTTAATCATGCTATATATCATTAACCTGAAGAACCACATAGTTTTAACTTATTTTTCTACAGCTGAACTAAAATATCAGTTCTATATTTTGACAGTTATTTTTCTGAATTCTATTACCTTTGAAAATGGCCACCATTTTAGGACATTGGCATTTTCCTTCACACATGGACTAATGCTTGAATTTTTAATAGTAAAGACAGGTTGCAGAATCCTCATTCCTGCACCCAGGCTCTCTATGGTCAGTGGCATATATAATGAAGATTGTTAGCTAGTAAAGTTAGAGATGCTATCCTTAATTAGAGACTGTCTACCAGTCTAACAAGGAGCTCTGGTAGCATAGTGGCTAAAAGCACTTGACTGCTAACCAGAAGGCTGGCGGTTCAAACCCACCAGCCACTCCTCGGAAGGAAGGTTGGGCAATCCTACTTCCGTAGTGATACTGCCTCGGAAACCCAAGGAGGGGTCGCTATGAGTCGGGGGCTGACTCGATGGCACATAACAACAACAACAACAACCAGTCTAACAACAGCCTGCTTAGGCCACCTTTAGCTTTCACTGGATGAAATTTCTAGTGAAGCTAATTATGCTTGGCTTGTTCCTCTTTCTCTTCTGTCCATAAATGGCTGTCAAGTTTTTCTATTGTACCATTAACATATTTTGTCTACGACATGATCAACTGTAAAGCATACAAATTATCTTATGTACCGTATTAGGAACTCTGGTGGCATAGTGCCTAAGGCATTTGACTGCTAACCAGAAGGCTGGCAGTTCAAACCCACCAGCCACTCCTCAGAAGGAAGACGGGGCCATCTACTTTTTTAGTGATACTGCCTCGGAAATCCAAGGAGGGGTCGCTATGAGTTGGATCCAACTTGACAGAAGTGGGTTTGTTTTGTTTTGTTTGGTTAAGAAAACGAGGTAGTCAATGCATTCTAAAACCAGATGAAATATGAAAGAAAATGTATCTTACAATGCATTTGCTAAGTCTCTTATAAATCTGTCCCTGCCTCTTCATCACCAATGTCACTGCCCTACTGTAGGCTGCCATTATCTCCCACAGATGTTGTTGTCGTTATGTGCCATCAAGTCGGACCCAACTCATAGCAACCCCTCCTTGGGTTTCTGAGGCAATATCACTACGGAAGTAGATTGCCCCATCTTCCTTCCGAGGAGTGGCTGGTGAGTTTGAACCGCCAGCCTTCTGGTTAGCAGTCAAGTGCCTTAGCCACTATAATACCAGAGCTCCCTATCTCCTACATCTCCTACAAATAAGACTCCTAATTGTTCTCTTTGACTCTTACTCTCCACCTCCCTGATTTAACCTGTTAAAATGCCAACTCCTTCAGTACCCCACCCATCAGCTACATGATTTTCCAAAGTAGTGATCTCCTGTACCTGCCAACCCTTCACAGAAACACAGATTTTGGCTTTTCCTGAATATATAGGTCAGCTATTAGCTTCTCTCTTTGTATTACTTCACAACCAAACTCCTCAAACACCCTATTTTCAATTCATTTCCAATTCACACATTAGAGAAAAAAGACTGCTTAATTATAGAGTTGTTTTTCTTTTAAATTCATGAGTGAATTATTTTCTGCTTAGAATTTTCTATTGATACTATGTGTTTTCAGTAAATGGAAGACATTCTAAAATCAAGGAAAAATACATTTTTTGAGGTAATATGAATTTTGATATAAATATATGGAACAAATATGTTCCAACTAGACTCTGGTGGTAGGATTGGTGGGGTGAGGCCTGTTTCTCAAGATTCACGAAGTTATACAGGTCCCCACCAGGTGTATCATGTACTTCCCAAGAAACCAGAGAGGCTGAAAATGCTGGTAGTCAATGTATGTCCCACAAGTCACAAAAGGGTTAAAAAAAAAAAAAAAATAGGAAATTGTATCAGTATGTATGTAGAGTTTTAAAGCCAAATGGTACTATAATGCCCGTTACAAAAAAGAATAGCCCTAGCCCTGCTTCTCTTCACCCTTTCCAATCCTTTCTAATCCTCTTCTTTTGTTGTTGTTAGTTATGTGCTGTGGAGTCAGACTCGACTCAAAGCGACCCCTCTTGGATTTCTAAGGCAGTATCACTACGAAAGTAGATTGCCCCATCTTCCTTCCAAGGAGTGGCTGGTGGGTTTGAACCGCCAGCCTTCTGGTTAGCAGTCAGGTACCTTAGGCACTACACTACCAGAGCTAAGAGACAACTATTTCCAATTCTTTTTGCTTATTCTAGTATTTATCTCCAAAATCTCTAAATAACATGCTTGCTTTCTGTTTTTCAGGGTCAGACATTCTCATGATTAGAACTGCTTTTTTCTACATCCAGGCTCCTGATACAGCTCTAATACAACTCTGATGGTGCTGTTCTAGCTTCCAGGGCTACCACTGAAAAATCAGACCCAGATGAATTGCCACTGCAGCTGACCTTTTCTCCATTATCTCACTCTTTGGAATCTTCCCTTTATTTTCAATGTTTTGAAATTTGATAATATGCTTTGTTAAGACATTTTTCATTTAAATCTGAACACTGGGATTATTTTTGTATCTTCGAATATCCCTTCCCAATTTTTTTTCCTATTCTCTATTGCTGGGACATCTCCTCCTTTTGTATCATTGGATCACTTAAACTGGTCAATTTTTACCTTTCTGCCTCCTCCTATTTTCTTTGTCTTTATGGTCCCATTGGGGCAGAATAGTGTAATAATAGTTAAGAGTGAAGATGTAGAGTCCAGAGTGTCTGGGTCCAAATTCTGTTCTGCTATTATTTAGTTTGTGACCTTGGGCAAGTTATTTATCTTTTCTGTGCTTCCATCTCTTCATCTGTGTTATAAGGATACTACTACTACTACTCATACCACTGCATTGTTGTGATATAAAGCAGTTAGACTAGCACTTGACACAGAAACTACTACATATGCTAGGAATTATTTTTATCAGTACTTTCTGGGAGAGTTTCTCTTCTTAATTTTTCTTTTGTTATTACATGTTTTCTCTAACTTCCTTTTGCTATTATATGTATTTTTTAGTTTCCTTCATATCCCCATCTCTTTTCAATCCATTCATACTTGGTTTCTATCTGCATCCAAACTGCTGCTTCAGAGATCACCAGTGCCTTCCCTGTCTGTTGCCAAATTCAATGGACCCTCATCAATTTTCATCTAGTTAGATCACCCAATAGCTTTTCAGCAAGCTCTGTGACACTCATTTCATCGATCTCCCCATCTATTCCTTTTGAGGCTTTTTCCTTTTTGGTCTTCCTATCTACACTATAGATGCCAGTACTCTAGCAAGAGTTCTGTATTCATACCTTTATTATTCTTACTCTGTAACAGTCTTCCTGGGCTATCAGTTTAGTCCTTTTTTTTTTTCTTTTTGTGCTCTGTGTGTATTATTTACAGAGTAGAATTTGTTTTACATTCAACAGTTCAAGTACATTTGGTTTCACTCCCCGATTACCATCCCCAACCCTAACCCACTCTCCTCCCTTCCCTTCCCTGTGACACCCCATCCCACCCCCGACCCCGTTCCCTTCTTAGTTATGCACTCCTGTCTGTCTAGCTTTCCATGTAAATGTTGCCCCTCTGGTGCCCATGGCCGACTGCTCCAAGGGGTGTATCTCTGTAGAGTAGGTGGGTGCATCGCCCTGGGTTGGGTGTTCTGCATGTAAGTCTTTCTGCTGTTGGACCGAGAGCTAGTTCTTGGGAGTGTGTCCTAGCCCAGGCCCAAGTGTATCCCAGGGCCACAGTCTTGGGGGTCCCACCAGACTCCATCTGACCAGTAATGCTGGTCGTTACTGTGTTTTTGAATTTTGTTCTGTGTTTTTCCTCCCAGTCTATCCAGGATCTCCAGTTTTGATCCCTTCCCAAGTGGCTGGCATTGGTAGCCAGGCACCATCTAGTTCTTCTGGTCTCCAGGTCCATCATATCCTTGGACTAATTATTTCCAAATGCCCTTGATTTTCTTCGCTCTTCTTTGCTTCAGATGAGAGGAGACCATTAGCTGTATCTTAAATGGGCGCTCAAAAGCTTTTAAGACCCCAGTCACTACTCACCAAAGTAGGTTGTGGAACAAGATTTTTATGTATTATGTTGTGCCAACTGAGCCTGGTATCCCCCAATACCATGGTCCTGAGTCGGCAGGCCTGATGGTTCTCTCTCTCAAGGTGTTTGGTTGTCTCTGAGGGATTACTCCAACTCTGTCTTCTGTTGCTTCTGTAATGATTGTGGTTATTTTGTATCACTAGTATCGATGCAAATTATCTGCAGCTAAATCTATCAATGGTCCAGGGTACACTCCTGTTCACCCAACCCTCATCTGATCTTCTCAGTTGTCTATGCAGTTATTTGTAGCCTGGTGCTTGATGTTAGCAGTAATGTAGTATTATGCATATACTGGTATTAGCCTCTGTTGTCTGTATCTTATGTGCACATTTCAGTGTCCCCCAATGTCATCATGCTGGTCACAGACTCTTCTTACACTAGTTTTTCTAACTAGATTAGTCCCTTCTTAATGTCCCTGGATGGCTCCCCCAAATTTTTAGGATAAACAGTAAAATTCTTAACATGGCTTTACAAGGCCCATCTTCCATTTTCTTTTGGGATCTCTAACCTCACTAGCCTATTTTGTGCCATTGTATCTCTGGCTCTCTGTAGTTTAGTCATCTTTCATTCTACTGAATGCATTTTCTCAGTCTTACCTCAAATTTTCAAACATACTGTTCCCTCTACCTGACTCAGTAACCCACTTCCCTAACAATTCCAACTCCTTTTTTAGAACTGCTTTCTCAGAGACACCTTCTCTGACCATTCTTCCATGCAATTTATGACAATTTTTCAGTATCTACTTTAGACATTGAGCTCAAAAAACGCAGGGGGTACATCGGTTTTCTTCACTGCTGTATAATTTCTGCATGGGACATAGCAGGTGCTGAATAGGTATTTGTTAAATGAATAAACACTTGCTGTTCTCTGAACCCAATCAGCTCTTTCAATACCTCTGTGCTTCTGTGCAAGCTATTCTTTGTCAGAAATGCTTGTCAACTTACTCTTGGCAAACTCCTACTCATCCTTCAAAACTCAGTTCAACAATCACCTTTCTATGAAGGCTTTTCTGACATATGCTGACTGAAAATAATTAAGATGCTTTTACACACTTAACACTTGGACCTATCTCCATGATAGGCCAGGCTTAAGCATCACCTTCTCCAGGAAATCTTTCCTAATTCCAAATTAAAATCAATCTTTTTTCACTCCCTTATCCTTCTGTTGAAACCCTTTTCACAGTTTATCTTGTATTGTTAATTATTGCTTTTCTGCTTTTCCTGATGAATTTTAAGTTCATCAAATACAGTATTCTATCTTATCTATCAGTCCCCATAGTACCTACAGTCACAGCTGGCATATATAAGGCCCTAACAAATGCCATTCATAAGACTTTATTTAGCACTGTTTATAATGGGAGGAAATAATAATCAGTTATGTTTGAGTCTGATGACCTCACTAACAGTCAGCAAGTTAATTCAGGCTAAGTCAAAAGGAGCCACAGAAATATTGTGATATAAGTTAATGCAGAAGGTGGTCAGTTTGAAATGTTTTCCAGATACTATACCAAGAATATTTTGATTTTGAGACTGTGACTCAGAAATACTCTCATTAACCATTGTGGAAAACAATATGGCGACTCCTTCAAAAGTTGTAACTAGAAATACCATTTGACCCAGCCATTCCATTACTAAGTATATATCCTAAAGAAGTGAGGGCCATGACATATGCACATCCATGTTCATCGCAGCACTATTTACAACAGCCAAAAGATGGAAACAACCTAGGTGTCCATCAACTGAGGAATGGATATCCAAACTATGGTACATACACACAATGGAATACTATGCAACCCTAAAGAATAATATAGAATCTGCAAAGCACCGCATAATGTGGATGAACTTGGAG